TCCCGGGCCCCGCCCCACGCACAGATCTAGCCTCTGGCGACCCCTCATTCCTCCCGGATCCTTCCCCCTGCCAAGATCCTCCACCAGCGGCTCCCAGATGCCACCGGCCCCGCCTCCAGGGCTCCTCCTGAGCCCCACCCCCTCCAAGCCCCGCCCCTTCTCTACAGACCCCACTCTCCGTGTTACTGATCCGCCGCGGCACCGGTCCCGACTAGCGCGAGCGGTGGTTCGAGGCGCGGAAGGACAGAAACTGCGCTCACGGAGACTTCCCGCTCGGCTCTCTCCAGCGCCGGCCGCTCCAATTATCCCTCCGCTGCCACGTCTCTTCCGGGTGCGGCGCTCGCTGATGACGCCACCACGCCACCGGGCCACGCCTCTGCTGGACGGAAAGGAGGGGGAGGAAGGGGGGAAATCCGAGCGTAGTGGCCCGCCTATCTTCGTCACTTCCGCTTCCTCCCTAGCAGGGCGGGTAATTCGAAAGGTTCCTGCTGCAGACGCCCCTCCCGGTTGGCGCGAGTCCGGGGCGGCGGCGGCGGAGTAGGTCGAGACCGAGACTAGATATGTCTGGGAGGCGAACGCGGTCCGACGGGACCGCTCAGCGCTCTGGTGAGCGGAGCGCGCGCGGGAGAGAGGGGGCCGAGCCTCTTGGGGGAAGCAGCCCGCGAAGGCCCTCCCCCGCCATCGCCGCTGGAGGCTCTTCTCCCTGGGAAGGCGCCCCCAACGGGCTTGTTAGGAAATCTCTCGCTCTCTCCAGAACCCATTCTCTAAAGTCTACCTCTCCTATCTTTTTTCTCTTTCCAGGGCCCAGAACCCCATCCCCTACTGAGTCTCTGCGGAGGTCCCATAGGAAATCAGGCTCTGATCTCCCGAGGATCCTTCCTCAAATCTGGCCTCAGGTGAGCCCCGGGTTTCTCGGTCCCTTTTCTAGAGGCCCCTGGAGTAATGTAGAGCTCACGTTCACCCCTCTTCTCCAGCCACCCCACGCGAATCCTCCAGTCAGAAAGCCTATTGTCTTGAAGAAGATCGTGGCCCATGCTGCAGAGGTGAGGGCTAAGAAGGGGGTTGTTGGTGGGGGTTCAAAACCGGGGGCTGGCTGTGTGATCAATCGGTATTGTCCCCACAGATCCCAGCTGTCCGCTCGCCTCGCAGGAGCCCCAGGGTGAGTTCTTTTTCATCTGCGTAGTTGAGTGGAATCCAGGTCACGCTAGAGGGTTGGGGCAGGGCATACCGGCTGCTCACATCAGCCCGCGGAGGTGTTTTGCAGTATTCTGAATGTTTGCCTTTGGACACCGGCATGCATTGCCAGTCTTGATTTCTCCCGGCAGACTTAATACATTTAGCTCTTTGCGCCCTGTATATTTCTACCATTTTTCTTAGCGCTTCCTTTAAAAGTTGAGCTGTGCCCTACCTACTCTGTCTTCTTTCTAATCTATTTGGTCCTTGGTTTTTATTTATGGTTATTGTAAGATAAGTTCCGTGTATGATGTTTTTACAGTTTTAGCAGATTTTTTTTTTTTTTGTCTTTTTGTCTTTTTCCGTGTCCGGCAACGGATTGCAACCCTCAGT